GTCAGCGTTTCCTTTCACGAAGTAATTGAGGGAACTTCGTAGATTGCCTAATGAAGTGTGTCGGTAATAGACCACCACTAGGTATGTCTGGTGTTATGATGTCGGATAGGGTGAGTCTGGGGGTAAAATACCTCACGATGTCATACCACTGCTAGGCAAAGTTCGATGCTGGATAGGGTGAGTCTGGGGGTAAAATACCTCACGATATTCAGACCACTGCTAGGCAAAGTTCGATGTTGGATAGGGTGAGTCTGGGGGTAAAATACCTAACGATATTCGGACCACGGCTAGACATTGTTATCTAGATAACTACCCCTGGCTTAATTGTCTTGTGGTTCTTTCTTTTACGAACGAAGGTTCGTGGTGAAACTTATTCCATTCCCCCCATTTGATGCCTTTATCGATCCTCGTTTGCTGCTAGGGAATTTCCAAAGCAGCTTCGTCAGTTTGTTGTTCCTATCGATCCTTTAGGCTAGATCTTGTAAGATCATTGTATAGGATCAGTACGTGGTGATCGACGTTCGTTAGTGCTTGTAGTATAAACCTCGGGCAGCGATGGACTTTGTGCCTATTCCTTAGGATGAATCCTTAGGAATGAGTGATAGATAATTCTTAGGGTAAATCCTTAAGAGATAAAGAAGATAATGAGGATGGGTAATTAGGTTGATTGTTTGATGTTTAAACATAATAATTATATTATTGTGGGTTGAAAACCCTATGTGCTCACCAGGTTTCCCAACCTGACCCACTCAGGCTATTTGTATCACAGGTATTGATACGAAGCTACTTTACACCGAGAGATTAAAGGAGATGTAGATCACTAGTGTAAATAAATGTAAAGTTTGTTTATGCTTATGTTTAAGTATTGACGATGACATCCCGAAGTTTTGTTATGAAATGGAAAATATATTTCTTTAAGAAATGATTTGATAAATTTTTATTATATTTTGTTTTGGGAACAAATTCCGCAACACCTTTAATCAAATGATTACTCTGATTTTATTTTAAAAAGCATAAACAAAATCGGTCTTTTCTGGCCGCGAAATTGGGGATGTCACATCTTTCGTTTAACTGGTTTGGATCTTTTTATTGAGTTTACTTTCTTAATGATAAATGGATACACCCTACACTCTTGAAAATAGGGTTGGCAACATTGTGAGTATCAAGGTTTTCTCAGCAATAAGAAAAGATATTAGTATAAAAGTTGCAATATAAACCATTTGTAATTACATAATAATAACTAAACAAAGATATGTGAAGGATTATCTTTACAATTTAAATTGTAATATATAACATAAAAATCGTATGAAAATTTTATTATATTCCATTCCATGCCTCACAAACATGTTTATAGAATGGAATTACTCGTTATATTATCTTGCTTTTATGATTACCTATCCATTCCATTTCTTTGTTGTTCCATTCTTTGCAACCTCACATATCTCAAAAAAGTAATTCGGAAATCCATCACAAAAAAGAAAATGTTTTATAAACTCTTATAATGGAAGAAGAAAGATAAGACTAAATGAGTGTATGGTGTTAATCTAATTATTATGTTCTTTCATCTCTATTTGCATATTTATAGCTTGTTTGTAGTATTGTCTATAAAATATTATTGTTATATCTGAAAGTTCATTTTTCGATTTTTCATCTTTTTGTGTGTATATTTTAATCTTTCAGGATTTTTAGAGTATTTGAGGGATCATTTCTGCTTAGTAGTGGGGTGAAGTCAAGGTCCCTAAAATTGGAGGGTAGTTGTATTTAGAGCCACTTGAATATTAAAGATTGTTGTTGGCATTAATTTTAATAATCATATGTACCCTAGAAGAGATATCAGAACAATGGTTTATTTTTTATAACGTTTTTTGTATTTATTTTTTAAATGTTGCACGGGTGATTGCTACAAGGTGTGGTCACCTTTGTCTAGGATCAAGGGTAATTTGGTAACTCTTTAAATATTACACTTTATTAAAGAGTACAAACTAATATTTTTGACTTTTGGTTTCTTATGAAAGAGGCAAGGATATAATGGTCCTTTTAATATAAATTGTTTATTTTATTGTTTATTACCTTCTATGGCTACAACATAATTACCACCTTTTGATTATGCTTATTAAATATGTCATAATATTTTATTTGATCAAAATTTATGATTTTCCGGTGTATGGAATTGTAAGAGCTAGAGATTGTTTTCAATTTGTTTATGTCATAGATTATTTCAATATATTTTGGGATGTAAGTGCTTTAGATGTTGAAGCTTTTGATTATATTTGATAAATAGTAGTTAAGGGGGGTTGTTTTTTAGATTATTCATTATTATATTGAAATAATATATACATATATATATATATATATATATATATATATATATATATATTAAAATTAATAACATTATCTCTACCATTTAATATGGAAACCATCATTCATGAACTAAATAATGCTTAATTGTTTCTTTCTGTATTCTGTGTGGCAGATTCATTGGTTAAAGCCTTTGGCACCAATGTGATGATATATATTTTACTCTAGAGAATCCTACACCAAATGTAGTGACATCTTCAAAGGTATCTTACCTAACTTTTCTAAAGCCTTTGGCACCAAGAAGTTCTTTCAGGAGGTTAGTTTTGATTTTTTTCCTATTCATTTCAACTGAATGACTAAGCTCAATGTACAATGTCTATGTGTTTATATGTTTTATATAAAGTTGGAGGTTTTGAATGGTTTTGGTGGTGCAATTGGAAGTTGTTATACACAAACGTATACAAGTGGTTAGCACCTCGCTTCATGTTTTTTTTGGTTTTCATGTGTTAAGAATTGATATGCTCTTGATAAAAATCGTACCCCCTATTTGAGTCCAAAATCAAAATCGTTTTTTTTTTTTTTGTACATTAAAGCTCAGTTGTAGGACAGTATTCTGGAAACAAATTTCATTAATAACATTGAAGTTTGCAAAAAAAAGGTCATTAATAGCGTTGTACTTTGAAAAAATTACTTTTTTCGTTTTCTTTTTAGATAATCTGGAAAAGTTTTAATTTTTTTTTTTGTACAGTAGAGCACATAAATAGGATATTTTCTAGGAAAAAAAAGTTCGTTAATTGAATATACATTGTCATTTTCTTTCACATATGGACCATTTATGTAATTTTCAAATATGAAACATTTATTTAATATTATAGATTTCTTATCTTATTCATATATTTTCATTTACAACAATGTACTTTAAATGTTCATTAGTACACCATTGATATGATAATCTTTTGAAAAAATGTTTTTAGTATTGAACTTTGTAAAAAAAAGTTCATAGATAGCGTCGTACTTTTTAAAATAATTACATTTTCGGATTATTTTTAGATGATATGAAAAAAAAATTTATGTATATTGAAGCTCATTTGTAGGACTGTTTTCTGGAAACAAATTTTATTAATAACATTAAACTTTAAAAAAAATCATTAAGCTCATCGTACTTTCAAAACAATTACTTTGCGGATTCATTTTTGATGACATGGAAAAATTTCATTTTTTTGTACATTAGAGTTCATTAAGACAATTTTTTTTTAAAATACATTTCGTTATGGAGAGTACTCACTATATACTATTGCTATCTATTATATACTATCTTATCTTCTAAAGAATTATAAAAATGTTACTTTTTTAGTTTTTTTTTCAACATTTTGACTATTTTTCTATAGTTTCTACCCGACAACTTATGTTATATCAAATATTCTGTATATATTAATTTTAACTAATCGTTATAAACTTACAGATAAAAATCTATCTTTGAAATTTAATAATTTGTTTGAAAACATTGATTAGTTATTAGGATTAATTATATATTTATATGTATTTTTTTATATGTCCCACGCGTTTTACGCGGGTCATAATATAGTTTTATACATCATTTCATCATTGTTTAGCAACTTATTTCTTCGTTTTATCATAATCATAGCTTAATCTTGTAAATCAAAGTAACCCAACAACATCCAAAATATACTAGGCAAACTGTAAAACGTTTGGCCCTTGTGTTGTTTCCTAATGTTTTTCTTCTTCATTGATGAACTCCTTATGCTCCTTTTCTTTCTCTAGACTCTTCCTAACCTCTTTCTCCATGCCAAAGAAACTAGAACGAACAATCATAAAGAAATGTAGAGATAGATACAAAGATAGTCCATAGAAACTTCTTATGTTTATCTCAACACATACATGAAGAGCGTGAAAATCAAACTCAGTAATCTCAAATCCAACTCATGTGCACTTAGGTCTACTTTCTTTAACTTGATCCAAAGTCCAAACATATTAATCAAAAACCATTTAATGTGGAGAAAGATTTGTGTGTAATAATAATGAAGTAAGATAAAATTGCAAAACTTCTTCGTGTTATTGGAGATCAATCAAATCAAGCTTGCAAAAACAAAGTAAAAGTGTTCATCTCCTACGTCAGAATTGGGATGAACGAAAATGTCAAGTGAACATTTTGTTTGTTAAATAGTAAATGATAATTCTAACATTTAGAATGTTATTAATATATTTAGAAGAGTATAAAGTCAGATTGCTGTTTTATTTAGGGCTAAATGCAATACATACCAACATACTTTCATTTATTTACATATTATTAAAAAAAACCTACTTTCTTTCTTTCTATTTCAACATTTACTTTTTCTTTTTCTTTTTCTTATTAATGTATTGTACATTGAAAAATCTACCCAATCTTCATATCTTTTATTATATCCTAGGAGGTCAAACACATATAAAAAACAAACCCTAAAAACAAATCATAAGTCCTTGTTCTTTTTTATAACTCAAAACCCCACTGAATTTCTTTCTTTTCTTTATCGCATAAATTTCTACATCATAAAAAATCTAAAAGCCATTGCACTTTGTGCAGGCTTTTTCTTTACAATAAACCCTAGGAAATTACAGCCCACGAAAATTTGAACTCAGAGGGGTATAATAGGAACAAAAAAAAAATGTTGTATAATTTACAGTGATTCTTCAAAACCATGACTCCATTTCACCCAAACCTGTGCATAGATCTTGATCACTGAAAAGTGTTTGATCTGAGCAATCGAGTGATGCACCACATGCCAGATTATATGCTTGACATGCTGAATAACATACTCTTAATCTGTTGTTTCCATCTTTTTCACACTTCTGTATTGATATCTGTTCAATTCCACAATATATATATATATATATATATATATATATATATATATATATATATGTTTTGTTATAAAAGATTTATCAGTCTAATAACATCAGAAAAGAAAATTCAAGAAAAATTTAACCAAAATGACCATTTTACCCTTTGTTTGCACATCCATATGGATGATACTTGTAAGGATAAGATGGTAATCGTTTTGTGTATTAGCTTAGTAACAATGAAAAATGAAAAGAAACATAGCCTTACAAATTTGCCCACATTTACTTTTGGTTAATAAATGAAAGTATCCTACTTTTCATTTCATTCTATTACAACATTTTACTCCCAATTTGTTCCTTATTAAGGCATTATTCTTTGAAAAACCTACCCACTTAAAGCATTGTTCTTCTTGTTATAGAAGTGAAAATCATTTTGCATTGGGTAGATATTTCAAAGTACAATTATACAATAGGAAACAAATAAAAGTAAAACGCTATAATAAAAATATGTCATCATTTTCTCAAATACTTTTCAAACATCATTTATCCATACACCACTTTATCTAAAGCAGGCATAGCTGAAAAGCTGGCTGTTAGCTGATAAAAAATGACGTTTGGTAAAACTAAGCTGAAATGACATAAAAAGCTCATTGAAACGCCAGTTTGAGTAGCTTTTTTAAAAAGCTAACTTATAAGCTACTTTTTGGTTTGCCAAACATGACAACCTAAAAAAGAAAAAAGGGAGTTACCCAACAAGCAAGACGTTTGGCTGCTTTATCACAATTTCTACCAATAAAGATATTGAGAATCTTTCTAGCACCCGTTGGATATAACCTATGATAATTAGGCATCACCACAACATCCTCCAATTGCCTCAAAACACTCGATTCACTTGGTGCACAATGTTGTCCATTTCCATTTCCAACATCAACATCATTCATTAACACATGTTTGCAAATTGAAAGATTCTCAAGAACCAATGAAGTGTTTCTACATGTGTATCCCGCATAATCCGAACAACGAAATTCACACACCCCATTATCACATACCCCTCCATGAAGACTGCATTGTTCATCACAAACAGCTGCAACAAAATACCAATGTACTTTTCTTATTATAGAATCCTCCTACATACTTTCATTTCTTTAAAAATCTAATCTAACCACTTGTAGCAATCTCATCCCAATACAAACCCACTTGAGTAGGTTTTATATTAATAAAAAACTGGTTAATCTCATAAAAGACCTTATATTTTGTGTTTTTTTTTCGGATTAAACCTCAAGTTTATTCTTTTCCGAAAAGGACCTTGCATTTTTTCATTTTTCCGATCTGACCCCTGTAGTCGTTTTTTTTTCCGGAAAAACTTGTAAAATGCGAGACTTTTTTCGAGAAAAACTAAAAAAGTCGAGGGTTTATTTGGAAACAGTTAGAAGGTTGAGGAGTTTTTTTCGGGAAAAAAAAGACAAAAGTTGAGGGTTTTCTTTGGAGAAAATGAAAAAATACAAGGTCTTTTTCAGGAAGAAAATAAAGATTAGGTTTAATCCGGAAAATTACAAAATATAAGGTTTGTTATGAGATAAACCCTAAAAAAATCGAGTATAATTCGGTAGATTTTTCCAAGTACGATGTCTTGTTAGAAAATTCAATGTATACAGTTCCATTGAATTATATAAAATTCACTTTACTTCCTAAATCTCTTTATTCATTATTACTCTCTCCTTTTTCTTTTCTTTTCCCATTATTTACAACTATTAAAGTTATCATATCAAAATTTTAAGTTCTCAAGTGTTAATGTAATGTATATACACATTGTTTGACTTATCACATAGTCTTTGATTGATGATACCAATATCTCATAATTACTGTTAATGGGCAAAAAGGTAAATTTTAAAAACTCACCAGTTGAGCAATCAATCCCAGTGAATCCATCTGCACATTGACAAATACCGTTTTTGAGGCACTTCCCATTCCCATCACAATTGCTAGGGCAAGACCCTGAAATTATACAATATATCCATCAACAATCTTAACACTATAAATACTTTGCTATTATTATCTCACTATTATATCAAATATTGAGGTAAAAAATCTTACTTTTACTACAATCATGCCCATCAAACCCAAGAAAGCAAATACATTTCCCATTAACACAATCACCATTTGAATTGCATGAATTAGGGCATTGCCTTGACACTAAAAGAGGATTCTTCTTCACACTACAAAGTTCATGATGAGCTGGACAAATCAACTCACCTGTAGTAACAAATAGTATGTCACAAAACAAGAATCATTAATTTACTTTTACTTTTGACCCATAATAGCAATATAGGTAATCTACTTTTTTTTTCTATTTCAACTTTTTATTAATTATACTTTGAAAAATTCTACCCAACTATAGCAATCATTTGGATGACATTGCTATAACTCATTCAAAGTAAAATGTTGTAATAGGAAGAAAATGAAGCAAGATGAAATAATAAACAAATCAATGAAATTACGTTGTTATTTATTATTCCATTTTATATTGTTGGAAATAATAAATTACCATTAAATCCAGGAAATTGAACAGGTCCACCAGCTTCAGGGCAAGCTTTCCAAATCCCATCAACAGCAACCTGTAAAACCAACATTGATTTGAGATAATCATATAATTATTAAATAAACCAGAAATTATATATAAATAAATTTACATCAAGTTTTAAAACAAACCTCCAAAGTCATGTTGACACACCTATGTTGATAACAACCATTTCCTTGAGCCATAGAACCCCTAACAAACCCATTGCGTACTAATGAAGAAGCCATGCATCTATATAAACAAATTACAATTAAAAGTTCATCAAAGATTTTTTTTTTTTAAATAAAAGCTACAAAGTAGGATGCTATAATCAGATATATGATAGTACAATGCTATTTCTTGCATTTATATAATAAAACTTCGGTTTTTACCTCGAGTTACTTCCACGAACTTCCCCCAACATCCTATCTGGCATCCGTGCACTGTTAGTGTCTATACATGAACCATCAGAATAAGCTACAAAATAGGTGCAGTAATCAGCCAATGATGATTGTCCACCTGTATTTGTATTTCACCAAGATTCAGCCATTTAAGTCAACCTTTATCATCAAATCATAGAAAACGACAAGACAGGTTGTACTGCATTGGACTGGGACTCAGACTGATGTCAATGAGACAAAGATTGTAACTTTTTGCCCCGCCAAAAAAGGTGGCACAATGTGGGACATGGACTCGCTCTCGATCTCTCTCTCTCGTCTGTGCAAAAGACGTAAATACCCTCCTCATCCTCATCACCGAAAAAAAAACCCTAGAAAGCTTGTCCAGTCTGATGTAGTCCCTTCAGGGTCCGCTGGACCCTGAACTGAACCCAACCAGACTGGACAAGCTTTCTAGGGCTATTTTCGATAATGAGGATGAGGAGGGCATTTACGTCTTTTGCACAGACGAGAGAGAGAGATCGAGAGCGAGTCCATGTCCCATGTTGTGCCACCTTTTTTGACGGGACAAAAAGTTGCAATCTTTGTCTCACTGACATCAGTCTGAGTCTCAGTCCAATGCAGGTCAAACACAGTACAGCCTGTTGTGTGATGTGATGTCGTGCAAAAGAAAGTAAAGATTTGTTGACCTTTATTAGGTTGTGGGAAATAACGGGCCCACGGAGGAAGGTCTCCACTATAATTTAGAATTGGACAATAACCCTCGGCCTCTCTGTTATATGTACAGCCTGAAAATTGTGTGGTGTTGCAATGATACGCCCCTTTCCAAATGTTGCAAGGAGAAGTCACAAACTCTGTCCCTTGGTTGCTTCCCCAATCAAGAACTTCTGCCATACTATAATTAGCTTCATACCAACCACTATCTTCTAACAAAGCAAGTGTCATTTTTGAAACTACAGATCTTGTGTCAACCGATCCAGTCATTATTTCATTCATCAAAAGTCTCTTCTCCCAATGAGATCCTGATACATCATACATACATGTTTACAAATTTCAGTTATTAAATCCAAGTATCTCACCAATTAGTAACGTGTTGTGTTGTTTCTTCTTTTTGTTTTTGAATATGAGTGAAGTATTGAAAGGAGCAAGTGTTGTATACATAAAGATTGTTTCTGTTTTTAAAACATTATTTTCTCATGAACACTACCTTTTTTTTTTCGTTTTCTATGTCTTTTTTTAATAATCTGGGAATGGTGTAAAGTTAATAAAGATTCTATCTTGGATAAAATGTTGACAAACCTGATGTTCCACGCCCTCCACCATCTTCCAACTCCAAACCAGTGAAATTTTCAGAAAATGCCTGAAAATCAAGAATTTATAAATACTATATTTTTTGCTCATTTTCTGTTGTATCTTTAGAAATTGATACTTCTACTAAAAGAATCTTGTCAAAAGGTAGAAAAACATACTCCATAATGATAGCGTGAATGCATAACAACACGTGGAAGAACCACACGAGTTACCATTCTCCCAAGCTTTTCATCCACCATTTGTTTGGTTACCTAAATACACAAACAAAAAAAAATCATTATTTAAACAATTTCACTTTATCAGTTTAGATACCAAATAGTCTTAATGAATCTAGTTTTGTATTAAGCTTTCAGATTTTATAAGTGTACCTGAGTACGTCGTCTTTTTCTCTCATCTCTAAAATGTGTGAAGGCATGAGGGTCAAATCCAAGGACATGAATCACCTAAGAAAATTCAAAATTTCTCAAAAACAAGTTTCAAAATCTCAAATATTCGATCGAAAGCACAATGCTATATAATGACAATAAAAACTCACTTCATGTATTAACGTAGCTGAAAGTAATGTTTCTGCTTCGGCTGTCAAATGGCGTGGAGCAACATTCACATGTCCTGCAAACAGATAAAATCAATTTATTAAATGCATAAACCTAACTTAACCCCCAAAACAAGACATCACAACAGGGACACTCACACTGACACTGACTCAGACATATGTCAATAGGAGAAAATATTACAACTTTATGTACTATCCAAGACAAGACATAACAACACAGGCAAAGACAGCTGACAAGTGACAGGTGACAGTGACAGTGACAGTGACAGTGACAGTGACAGTGACAGTGACAGTGACAGAGTAAGAGAATGATGTGGATAGAAGGAAATATTACAACTTTATGTACTTTCCAAGACAAGACATAACAACACAGACAGACAGGTGACACAGACACAGAATGATGTGGATAGAAGGAAACGTTACAACTTTATGTACTATCCAAGACAAGACATAACAACAGAGACAGAGACAGAGACAGAGACAGATGTGAATGGGAGAAAATATTACAACTTTATGTAGTATCCAAAAGAACAAGAAACAATTACCAGCAATTGCACGACCCCATTGATCGCGTTCACATGCCACTGCCCAAGCAAGGGTGTTGCCAGTTGTGGGTCTTGTAGTCACCAAAAGAACCAAATCCGCATCAGCAACGCCCTCTATCAACATTTAAAAAGAAAATCAAAATAATGATCATAAATTGTACAAAGTTTATTTCTTTACTTGATTAATAAAAATGGTGATATTATTAATATAGTGTTACTTTCTACATATTCACGTGGAAGCTGCACACCACCATCTTGACCACAAGCAGAGTAACCACTTAACCTCAAGTTTCCTCTAACACGTTCAACACCCAATGCTCTTTCAAACCATTCTGCTGTCTGCCCTAAAGCCTGTTCTCTCAAATAAATGAAAAAAGACGTTATTACCCTTCAAGATTTAACTACCAAATATAAGAATAGTAGGAAGTAAGAAGAACCTTTTGAAGGCGATGTCTTTTGTCCTCTCCAGTTATATCATCCAAAGTGCAATTATACCAACAGTCACCCAAAATTGGAGGATCGTTGTGAGGGTTGCATGTGGGCCCACCTGAATCAGAACCCACAGGTGGCTCACCTAACTGAAAAAAATAAAAAATAAAATAAAATAAATGAATTGTTGTTTCTTTTTTACTTAATACTGAGAGAATGACTTGATAGGGAAAGAAATGGAAATGAGGCGTTTCCCATTAAGTCATTCATACTTTTTTTTTTTGACAAATTTGCCCTCTTTTCTACTTAATGGACTCAATGGGTACAAGACTTAATCATTTAAGCTATGTATGGGTGTTTCTTTTTTACTTAATAAAGAAAGAAAAAGAACGACTTAGTACAGAAAGATAAGGAAAATGAGGCTTTCCTTGTTAAGTCCTGCTTTTTTTACGAATTTGCCCTCTTTTTTACTTAATGGGGACAAGGGAAATGAGGCTTCTTTTACAAATTTTTCTCTTTTTTACTTAATAGGGACTATACTTAATCCAGTAAATTATAGAGGGTGTTTATTTTTTACTTAATAAAGAAAGTCAAGAAACTGAGACTTTCCCCCATGAACTCCTACTCTTTTACAAATTTGCCCTACTTTTTACCCTCTTTTTTACTTAATCCAGAAAGAACAACTTAATAGAGAAAGACAGGAAAGCAGGCTTTCCCAATTAAGTCCTACCTTTCTAACAAATTTTTCCTTCATTTATTTTACTGTTATATTCTCAAAAGTCAACACTTTTTAAACATTATTTATCCAGACAACACTTAATAGTAAAAAAGAAACATATTATGAGTATAATAAACTTGCCTTAACAATATCACCAACATTCCTACAATCTCTATCAGCTGAATGACCCACAGCATCATAATTCAAATAAATTCTTATGGGTAACTTTTCATTTTTTGAAAAACTCAAAGATTTTGAAGCTCCCAATAATTCTCTTCCTTTATGATGAAGATGACTTGGCACTTGGTAAACTTGTTGTGTAACAGAAAACACTTTGTGTCCAGGTCTCTTCCTCCTCTGTTCAATTATTTGGTCATGAATGCATGAATGTGATTGAATTTTTTCACCAAAATTTTCTCTTCTTTGTATCCCTAAATCTTCATCCCCATATTTTGCTTCAGTGATGTTGAAAAATACTAATAATAAAAGAATCTGCATAAAAAAAGAACAACAAAACCATGTTGATTTATATGTAGTTAAGTGATTTAGATTTATCACAACTTTAAATGATCATCCATGGTGTTCAACTGTTTATGCACAAAAAGATGCCTGAACTATAACTCTATAAGTTAAATAACAGATAGAGTAAGGGTATATAAGTCATTTTACAAGACCCATTTCTGTTTTGTTGCAGCTAGAAGTAGAATGAATATGTGATCCTAAATAATTAAATAATTGCAGAAATAGGTTACTGAAATACAAGAAACTGAGCATATAATTACTTCAAAACAAGGGCTACATTTAGCATTGTCCATGAAATATAAACCCTAATTTCCTACACAACCTCCTGATGTTGATGTTGATGTTATGTCAACTTAGATGTAATTAAAGACTTTGAATAAAGCTACAATTTTTTAAACCAATGATTGCAAAGCCAACATATGGGAAGTTTTAGTTTTTTCAATATAAAAAGTGTTGGAGAGGATATGAAACTTAACTAAGAACCCTAGTATTTCACTAACAATAAACCTCTGAAAAAAGAAGATGTATTTTTTTTTACCTGGAGAACTAATAGCTCAGTCGACAATTTCTTTCTGGGAAAAACAATGCATCTGATGATACTAATATTGGTAGAACAAATCTTGAACCCCATGAAATGAATTGAAAGGTCACCGGAAAAGTCATTGGTTCATCAAATCGCCGACGACGACCACTGCCAGATCGGCGAAACCGCCATGAAAAATCCCAAAATTTGTCTCATTATTCAGAAAGAAAGAAAAAAGAGGAATTGGGTTTGTGGGTGTGAGCTGGTGTGATGATTTTATGAGCAGTAGAAATTAAAAACACAATAATACACATAAAGGTGATTAAATGACGTTGGTGTAATGTAAAGGAGTGGAGTTGTTGTTGTTGTTCTTCGCCTGGTTGTAAGAAAATATCGATTTTCCGACAAAATTTAATTGGGTATTCGGTGATAATAATTAATGTTCTTCTTAAAGACTGTGTGATTTGTAGAGGAGCGCAGTGGATGATTTTGGGAGAAGAGATGGATTAGAGGAAAATGAGAGAGACACCTAACACGAACACCATATTCAATATTTACTCGTGAAGCACATCTGTTTTGATATTTTTCCATATTTCCTTTTTTTTTCATTGTTTATTTATTAGATATGTATGTTTGAATAATAGTTTAGATTTTACTTTTCTAGGAAAAGATTGAATTAAATAAAAATAAATAAATAATTTCAATTTAAATGTTAGTTCAAGTAGTTTCTGATTATATTTTATTTTATATATTTTAAAATTTACCAATATTTTTATGGAATTCTTTTATACAAACATTATAAATTATTATTTATTTATTTATATAGAAAAACAACTTGATAAGAGTTATATAATTATAGTTTAAGTTATTTTTGAGATAAATAGTAATTTATTTATGTATAAATTGATAAAAGATATGTTTTATTATATACACAGATAAAAATGTTATAACATATTTTAAAAAATCTTGTATTTTGTATAAACATACAACAGATTATATTGCTACATAAATATGTTTTTAACCTTGTAAATTAATTTGCCTTATAAAACAAATACAACAAAATGAGCATAAAATGTATTAATGTGTTTTTTGAAGCATATTCCAACTAAGGGATACATTTAAGATGTGAAATATTGTGATATGATCCAATACAAATCTAGGTTCGAAATCATTACACATAAGTGATATATCTAAAAACGTCTCCAATTATATAAATAATTAAATATTAATAAAAAAAATCTTTATCAATTATAAAAGTACAAAATAATTAAATATTGTTAAAAAAATTGAAAAGAAAAAAAATCTTTTAAAAATGGTCATTAGTTTGAAATAATTTAAATTAATAACATTTTTTTGATAAAATTAATAGAAATAAAATATATCAATATGAAAAGAAATTATAAAAATGATTGGAGGTGCTCTAAAATTTTAGCAATTATGGTATAATTCAACAAAATATATACTCATATTTTATATTTTATTAACTATGAATTATAACATTTTATGTTTAAAAGTTTATAAATTAATGGCATGTTATAACTTACTATCATTGCAAATGAATTGACATCATTCTATTAGATTATGCCTTGATTAATTTTTATAATTTTATAAATAAAATACATATTCTTCGCGTTTCAATAATATATCCATAGTAAAACTAAAAGTTACAATATTATAATTATATATTATTAAGATAAAACTGCAAATTTGGTCCTTGTGGTTAGCAAAAAAATGTGGATAGAGTCCAAAATCTTTTGGACTTGCACCATTGGTCCAAAATCAGAAACTTTTTGTGGTTTTGGCCCCTGGAAAAGTTGAAAAGACTATTTTGCCTTTTTAATTTCTTTTTCACATTATTTTAATATATACTGAATATTTATAAAATAAAAAAAAAATAAAAAGTGTCTATCCCTTTCTCGCTCTCGCTCTCTCTCATTGTCTTCTTCATTCCCTCTTCCTCCCTCGTCCTCTGCAACTAAACCCAAGACATACTTCACACACATGCTTTCACTAAACCCTCTTGTTTCCACCTCCCTCTATCTCCCACCCATTTCAATATCATACCACCCACCTCTCTCGATTTTCCCTTATCGCTTCCATTGTTCTCTCACCTCTATAATTCAAAATTGTACCACTACCCCTTCAAAGATTCGTTTTGAACTTTCTTTTCCCCAACTATTTATTCTCAATGCAAAAGTGAATAAGAAACAATTCACATTTAGGTTCGATCAATGGTATCAAATTGAAGTCAAAACATATATACGAAAGTAGGAAAAAAAGGGTTTGACCTAATTACATACCAAGAGAGAAGTTCCAGCAGACAATTGGAACCAACTTCTTCCATTTGTTCTTCCTCAAGACACAAAACAATTCCAACAGCCATTGACGAGTTGGGGAGCTACGGAGAATCCAAGTTGCTGCCACTGATGAGTTCAACAAACTGAAATACCCAATCATCTTCTTCCTCAACCATCTGCAACTTCAGTTTTGATTTGGGTTCTTCCTCAACCACCGGAAATGGCCTAAATCATCGTCTCCACCAAGCACCGAACACCACCACTACTGCAACAACAATCACCATTGCAACTGCTTTTTGTTGATTTACGTTTTTTGATTTGGGTGTTTGATTCTTCCACCGATGTAAATTGCCATCACCATGTTGATTTACTTATATTTTGTTTTGGGTGTTTTTTTTCATCAAGGTCTGATTTCCTGGTGAAATGTAAGGAAGAAGAAGACAGGTCTGATTTGCAGATAACAAGATGGGAGAAAAAGTCAAAGAGATATCATACAAATCAAAACTTGATTGGATTTAACCTTTGAAAATGAAGCTAGAGTTTAATTTTGATAGCATCCTCTAAGATATATGTGTGTATGGAGTTTTTAGTTTGTGGGTGAATGTGAGGAAGAAGAAGATGAAAGAGAAAGTCAAAGAGAGAGAAAGAGAGTCAGAGAGAAAAAAGTCGAAGAGAGAGAGAGAGAGATAATAGGAGGGTATGTTGGAGGGGTAGGGGTGGGGGTTTGATAATTCTCTTTTTATTTTTGAATTATAATAATAGTAAAAAAAGCATTAAAAATGTAAAAATAAAATGAAAAGGGCAAAGTAGTCATTTTAACTTTATCAGGACCAGAACCACAAAATATTTTCGATTTTGGACCATCTATGCATGTCGAAAAGATTTTGGACCTTATCCACACTTTTTTGCTAACCACAGTGACCAAATTTGCAGTTTAGTCTATTATTAATGCATGCCTTGGAATTAATATCTATTACCATATATTGGGATAATGCAAGGGTGGCATATCCACTTGCTTCCATTCATCAATTAATTATTTGATTATGTCAATAATTTAATTATTTTCATGATTGCAAGATTATTTATTTAATCGCTACAATTTAATGATCGATGATTATTTATTTATAGTCACAACATTTTTATATACATTTGTATTAATTACACATTTTTTAAAGATTTATTGAATGATTGATATTTGTCTATAATCACATAAGAATCATTAAGATCTTACGTTATTCTATCCTTAGGTGACTTATTAAATATGCATCAATGGACATTAATAAAATCTTAATCTAATCATTTTAAGTATGATATGACATGATTGTTAGAACTTTTAATTTTATAAATATTCAAATTTGATTAACAAATTAGTTTATGCGTTTCAATTTAAAAAGAACAAAAAAAGAAAAAAAAACTTAGATATATAATATATTTAAATTTTATTAACAAATTAGTTTATGCTTTTCAATTTAAAAAAGAACAAAAAAAAACTTCAATATATAATAAGGTAAATGTAATATAACCCTTTGGATAGCGTCCACATCGGTGGAAACTAGGATGTATCTTTGTATTGATCGGTTCTATCTAAGGTTTTAAAAAGCCTTCGTCATGGAGCGACATGGCTTCAAGGCTTGTACTTGCCACCAAACTTTAACAAAATGAAATTTTAAGTCATATATGTATATCAAAATGAAATAATAATAGAAAATATATATAAAATTATGAATGATATACAAAATTGTCGCATTAAGTCACGCCTTACAAACAATGTGGTTCGTCATAGCTTGAAAAAACTTTAGGTTTGATATTGCCGTCAAGTCATGTCTTACATTATTTAGAACCTTGGTTCTATCTGAGTAATTGAATCCAAATTGATTTTGATTTTTAAAATATGTATTTTAGAAGTGAAAACTAAAATCAAATATGATGTGCACCAACCAAAATACAATACAATAAGATTAGTTTTCATAATTTTGTTTTCAAGATTCAAAACATTTAAAAATATATATAATTTGAATATTATATTATATAAATGTTAAATATGACTTGAGTATTTGGAGCATTTGAGTTCAATGGAGTACTTGGGTTCATGGAGCATGTAGCACAAGAATGGATCATCTGAGAAGGGAATGAATCATCTGACAAATGAACAAATCAAGTGTTAAAGGAAAGGATCTTCTAAAAGGTGGTATGGAGCACCTTAGTGCATGGATGTGTCATTTATGCTTAAGGTGTGTGTAACACCCTGTTCGGGACCATATTGTGATTCAGGGCCGTGGGCCGGAAGTCGATTGTGTAAAGGCTTTAGGCCTTGAGGAGGCGATGTTTAGACCTTTTGGAAGGAGGTAATGATGGTTATGAGATCTAAACCTTTGAATTGTGTTTTGGAGTCAAAGGGTAAAACGGGAAAAATCATAGCTCGGGTTCTTGCATGAAATATGGATTTCTGTTTGAGAAATTTTTAGTCTAAGATATTTAGATATTATTTTAGAGTTCTTCAATACCTTTCCGTGGATATAAATATCGTCGAAAACGGATTTGGAACGAAGAAATTATGACCGTCTGAAGTTAGGGTGGTTTTGGGTTGAGTCGGGTACGTTGGGCGTACTCAATGTATACGTTGGTCATACTAGGGCATCCCTAGTACGCATCCCTAGTATGCATCCCTAGTACGTAGGGCGTAAATTGAGTACGTTGGGCGTATGCGATCAATGCCCAAATCCTATTTTCGTAGTTTGAGCCCTATTTAAGCTCCTTAACTCCCCTAAACCCATTCCATTCTCAGCCTTCACCTCTCCAACACCCTCTCTTGTAACCCTAACCCTAGATTGAGCCTTGTGAGCAAAAAGAAGGTGTTTTTAAGTGCTTTGGAGTGTTCTTGGTGCACCTTGGAGAAGAAGGAACTCATTGAAGAAGTGTTGGTTGCATTGGAGCTTGTAGATCCAGACTTTGTTCACCTTGATTTTTCTTCTAGAGGTATAAAGTTTGAATCTGATGATGAAATTGTTAGATCTAGCTATTTTTGGGTGTTATGAGCTTTTAGTCACTTTAAGTGCATAAAATTTAGATCTTGAAAGTTTGTGACCTTGTTATGGATAAAGTTGGAAACTTTATCCATCTAAACATCATTTTAATTCAGATATGAAGGTTGGAGACTTCTACTTAATGGATTAAGTTGAAAAAGATGCACTTTTGGATCCCTTTGAGACTTAAAGACTAGATCTTGTTTGTTGGGACCATTCTAATGGATAAAGTTGG